AAGTTCTGTCTGGGTCCACCTTTTTTACCTTCGGCTGTGTTTGTTTTGACCATAATCATTCCGCCACTCGTGCTAAATTGGATGCGCGGTCTTTTAAGTGCGTTTTCTTGGGTTACTCTGCCACACAAAAGGGTTATAAGTGTTGTTATCCTCCCACTCGCAAATGGTTTCTCTTCATGGATGTCACATGTTTTGAGTCTCTGTCTTACTTTCTACCCTCTCTAGTGTCCCCGTCATCTCTTCCGGGGGAGCCTTGGTGTGAAGCGATTCCTGTTCCACTTCGACCAGTGGTTGTATAGGTAGAGGATGATGAGCCAACAGTTGTTGACGTAGGCAAAGTTTATGTCAGGGTAAGGCTAGACAGCAAGTCACCTGGATGTAAGAGACTACTTTGCCTTCTCTACTGCCAACTATTTCTCCTGATGAGTGTCCAGAGTCATCCCCCTCTCCTGAGAGTCCAGGTAATTCTAATCCTATTGTTTCTATTCCTGAGTTTTCAGATCTTGATGTTCCCATTACTAATAGGAAGGGGGTTAGATAATTTACTCAGCATCCTATTACTAATCATGTCTCTTATTCTAATTTGTCTCCCTCATATAAAACCTTTCCATCTAAAATTTCTTCTGTGAGTCTGCCTAACAATTTTCAGGATACTCTCTCTATTCTTGAATGAAAACATACCATGATGGAAGGGATGAGAGCTCTCAGAAAGAATGACACTTGGGAGTTAGTGGAGTTACCTAGAGGCAAACATTCAGTTGAGTGTAAGTGGGTGTACAATGTCAAACACAATGCAGATGGCAGATGGTTCCATTGAATGGTACAAGGCAAGACTAGTTGCTAAGGGCTTCACTCAGACTTATGGAGTAGATTACCAAGAGACATTTGCCCCGGTTGCTAAGATGAACTCTGTGAGAATACTACTCTCTCTTGCAGCAAATTTGGATTGGCCACTTCATTAGTTTGATGTGAAGAATGCCTTCCTTCATGGAGACCTAGAAGAAGAGGTCTATATAGATATTCTCCCTGGTTTTGAGGAAGCTAAGTCCAAAGGTAAAGTGTGCAAGCTCCGGAAGGCACTTTATGGGCTAAAGCAATTGCCTAAGGTGTGGTTTGAATGGTTTGCTCAAGCTATGCTGAGATATGGGTTTAAGCAAAGTCAAGCTGATCACACCTTATTTATGAAACACTCCTTGTAAGAAATAATGTATAGAATGCCTTCCTTCATGGAGACCTAGAAGAAGAGGTCTATATAGATATTCTCCTTGGTTTTGAGGAAGCTAAGTCCAAAGGTAAAGTGTGCAAGCTCCGGAAGGCACTTTATGGGCTAAAGCAATTGCCTAAGGTGTGGTTTGAATGGTTTGCTCAAGCTATGTTGAGATATGGGTTTAAGCAAAGTCAAGCTGATCACACCTTATTTATGAAACACTCCTCATATGGTAAGACCATAGCTCTGATTGTTTGGGGATGATGTTGAGGAGATCCCTTGGTTGAAGGAATACTTGGCCAAGGAGTTCGAAACCAAAGACTTGGGTCATTTGAAGTATTTCTTGGGCATTGAAGTAGCTTGGTCCAACGATGGTATCTTCATATGCTAGAGGAAGTTTGTCCTTGACTTGCTAAAGGAAACTGGGATGCTTGGAGGTAGACCATGTGATACACCTCTAGAACCGTGCCTGAAACTAAGTGAGGATCAAGGGGGCGAGCCAGTGGACAGGTGGAGATATCAGAGGCTAGTAGGTAAGCTCATATACTTATCCCACTCACTCACGTTCAGACATTGCTATTGGAGTGAGCATGGTCAACTAGTTTATGCATGCCCCTAGAACTTCTCACTTAGAGGCGGTTATGAGAATCCTGAGGCACTTGAAGTCCTCTCCTGGAAAAGGTCTCTATTTCTCGAAACATGGACATCTCAGTGTGGAAGCATTTACTAATGCGGATTGGGCTGGATCAGTCACTAACAAATGATCAATTTTAGGATATTGCACATTTGTTGGAGGCAACTTAGTCACATGGCGAAGTAAGAAACAAAATGTGGTTGTTAGATCTAGTGTTGAGGCAGAATTCAGAGGAATGACTCAGGGTGTATGTGAGTTGCTATGGATTAGGCTATTGTTGGAAGACTTGGGGATCTATCAGACCGATTCTATGAGATTGTACTGTGACAACAAGGGGCGATCAACATGGCTCATAATCCGGTTCAACATAGCAGAACCAAACATGTAGAGATTGATAGGCACTTCATCAAGGAAAAGCACCATATGTACTCCATCTGTGAAAACTGGGGACCAACTAGCAGATATTCTCACCAAAGGAATAGGGAACAAATCATTTCATGACATTCTCAACAAGTTGGGCATGCGAGATATCTTCGCACCAGCTTGAGGGGGAGTGTTAGAATAGGAAATTATATTATTTTGATTAGTTCGTTGATTGATGTAATGGGCTGTTATGAGTTGGCCCTTAATTCATGCCTTATGGCACTCTTGTAATTATGCTTTATTTCTAATATAAAAGGGGATGAGGTCTCACTCATTCCCTAACTCTTTCTCTTCTCTAAAACTATCAGTTGTCTCATGATCGACTCCAATCTTATCCAGGACACGTGGAGCAACCTGCACTATTAGGCAGAAAGTGGTCAGACAAATCCCTTCAGCCGATGCTACACGACAAATAAGATCAACCAAATCTTATCTATAGCAGTCTATCTCTTTGAACAATGGGGAGGGTAGACAGTGTATATGTTTGTAGTTTGTCAGAAGAAGTGTATTTAATTCTAGCTTTGTTTAAGACTTTTGACAAGTTTTGGTATTTATTTTTGTAGAAAATTTGTGTAAGCCTAGTGCGAACCATAAGATTTTATAAGAAAAGTAACTCGTTACGCTCAAGAGAACCAAGCAACTCAAAAGTAAAATATTAATGATTTTTTATAAAAGCTGATGTAAGAAATGAGTAATATGAAGCTCTTCTCTATATCAAATATTTGTTTATTGAACTACATGAAGAATAAAATTTCAAGTTTGCTGTTTTACATAACACAAAGTGGAAACTCAAGGTGTATAAAAAATCAATTTTCTTATCTTTCTCTTGAAGAAGAGAGAGAAGTGTTGCACCTCGACTCTTTCAAAGTTGAATTACCCACTTGGTAATGTGTTGGGACATGATGTGACAAGTGCTTGTTTTAAGAGTTTACATATGAAGGTGAGTATTGCCTTGCAACTACCAATTGGTGGTTCATGAATTGCCAAATGATTGCTGAGCCGCAGAGGTTAATGTTAGATATTTTTGAACAAATTATTACAAAAAACAGAAACTCAAAGAATAGCACTCAAATTATGCAAACAATTTGAGGTTAAAACTTAAATTCTAGGTTAAGTTCTCTCTCTGTCTCTGTCTCTCTCTCTCTCTCTCTCTCGATATTGCGCTTAGACATGAACTAGAGTAAAAAATGTCGTAGACGTATTCAGATTTCATTTTAGAGACTCTAAACCTGTAACCTGAAGAGCCAGCCCACATAGACTAAATCTACTTTTTTTCATGAGCAACAATATTTTTAAATATAAAAAAAAAAGGGTTACACAGAGGTCGAGGACGACAACGAGTCCACCAAACAAGTGACTGAGCCCTCTACTTGGCACCACTTCAGGAATGATGAAAAGGCTATGGGATAGGGGGTCACCTTGCCCGAGAGCCCTAGAGTTCTTGTAGCAACTACATAGATTTATGGAATTGGTTGCTATTTCTGAATCTCAAAAGAGAGAAAATCTACTTTTTTTCATGAGCAACAATATTTTTAAATATAAAAAAAAAAGGGTTACACAGAGGTCGAGGACGACAACGAGTCCACCAAACAAGTGACTGAGCCCTCTACTTGGCACCACTTCAGGAATGATGAAAAGGCTATGGGATAGGGGGTCACCTTGCCTGAGAGCCCTAGAGTTCTTGTAGCAACTACATAGATTTATGGAATTGGTTGCTAGTTCTGAATCTCAAAAGAGAGAAAATTCTGGGAACAACTATCCCACATTGGAGGTATGGAAACACCCGTTTATTAAGCATTTAGAGAAGAAAAATGAAAAATAAAAATAAAATCACGTACAACCCTTCAATACCTAGAGATCAAAAACTTGAATGGAGAAGATACTAAAGCCCCAAGGAAGATAGAAAACAAATCTTGTCCCATAAAACTTAAATTGTAAATTTTTTCATCAAAACTCTTGCTGTCCAACCAAATTAGTAGAAAATTCAATTCCAAAGTACTCAAGCCTTCTTATCAGATTCAAATCCCCTATAATCAAATCATAAACATTTGAATAGACTAAGCTGGAGCCACCCAATCCATCTCCACCACCTGAAACAATTTGTTCCATAAAACCGCAGTAATAGGTCAATGTAAAAATAGAGGATCAATAGTTTTCTTATTCCCGTTGTACTTACAAACTTAAAACATCATTGTGGCAGCAAAAGACAATTGGGCATTCCCTTATGAACTGTGTGTCATCGGTGTTGAGTTTCTTGTGAACCGTAGTCTATGCAAAAATTTAACTTCATGAGGCACAATAGCATTCCAAATCATTTTATGAGGACCAAAAGAAGGTACACTTGGGATATCAATAATTTCATCAAAGAAAGATTTGCAAGAAAATAATCCCGAGGACTCAAGAGTCCACTTCCTTTTATCAATAGATCCAGGACTGAAGGAAATATCATCAAGAATCGATTGTAAGCCAACTCATTAGTCTCATGATCATTAAGAATCCCAAAAAAAATTAAAGTTCCAAGAACTTAGAACCACATATGAGGAGGTCATAGATGCAATGGAAACATTATGAGAACAAGAAAGACGGTAACTGAGGGAACATAATACAAAAAGAGACCTCACCCTTCTGCATTCTCACAAAACTGAATACTCACCCTATTACCCACAAAAAAACAAGCAAAAAAGAGCCTGATAAATGGTTTTCAATAAAGGTCAAGAATTTTTGCAGTCAAGCATATGAGAATCCTAACCATTGGCCTAAATCCCGTACTTACTGATAATAACAGTAAATCTAACAGAAAGTAGAACAGAAATGAATTGTCTTAAAGCTATTAGGCCTTTTGTTTTCAAACACAAGCAATACTTAATGCATATGATTAAAGACCAGCAATCTGTAGATGAAGTATTCAAGGATTGACAGAAGATAGAGAGCATACATAATTAAAGATTAACAATTCTAGGTAAAGAAATCCAAGGATTGACGGAAGAGAGAGAGCATGCTGCGATATTGCAAAGGTACTCTTGATCTGATCGGAACATGCCTGTAAGAGGCCTTTCCTGAGAGAGTTATATGTCTGAAGACTTCATTAGTCTGCCAACAATTTATTTGTGATTCTTATTCCGTTTTCAGCTTGATCCTTCTCCATGAGTGTCATGTGAGCTTTTGCGGCGACGCTCATTATGTCCAATCAAACGCCTGCGACAACTCCTTTTGGTTTCATCAAACTCTGATAGCTCATGGAACCTGCAGAAGACCATTGAAAAAAAAGACTTGAGGTAATGAACTACTGGGAGATGGGTTTTCTTTCTATTCTCTATTGTATTTTTCTTTCATTATGCTTAGCTTCTATTTGAACTATCGTTAGTTGAAATACTCTGGAACTTAATGCACTTTGTTTTTTTTTGCTGGTGGGGGAAGGGTAACAGAAATACACTTAGTTAATCTCATAAGAACCAGAAAAATAGAGTAATGCTATACATAATCCCTTTTTCCCCCTATTTTCTCACTCCTAGACACAAGGCAATGGGACCCACATTGATCAATACACATGGGGTTCACTCACTTGTGTTTTGGTGTGTGAAAATAGGAGAAGAAATAGGGTTATATAAGTTAAACTTTCAATTTTCAGAAAAAACTATAACGAAAAAAAAAGCTATAAAAACAGAAGTGAAACCTTTCATCTTTACAGTAAGATGGAACCATGAAAACACTTGCTGTTTGAGTCTGGCTAGACTAATCCTTGTACTAACGAAGAAATTATCTTTAGTTCTTAACAATCGCCAGAAATCCACCACTAGGATGTAAAATTTTTAGGACTCCACAATGATATGATGGTTATGGAATCGATTTGATATCATCCCTACAGTGTGTTTGGATGTCTATTGAAATTTAGCTTTTTAATATCAATTGAAGTGTGTCTCTTGTGACAGAGTTGGTAATTTAAAAAAAGTCACAACCATAATTTTGAACTCGCAAAATGCTGAAACCTCATATTCTTTTTGTAACTAAGTACAACCTTTGACCTGCAACTTATGCTTAATAAATTCAAATACAATTACACAAAGCTGAAATCAACTTAAAGGTTACCTTAAACATAATTCAAAAGATTCCATTTCCATGAGATGCCTGACCAAGGGCCTCATTATGTGTACATGGACAATATTGAGGTATTTGACAATGTTTTGTAAATTTGTTGCTAGCAGATTAGATTTTTGAGAGATCAATTTGAACAAGAGCAACATGCTGGAGTAGATGTTGGTCATAGTTCCTTGCACCTATTGTGCATTAAGATGAATTATTGATAAATTTTCAAAAGTAATTTTATTTCTCTGAATTACACATGCATCATGATTGCTTACTTTTACATGGGTTAGTTTTTCTACATTTCATTGAAAAGAATACCATATGTCAATTTGTTGAAGGATTAATTGCTAATTTTAATTATCATTCATCTGTATGTCACAATTAGTTCCAACTGAAAAAAAAAATCTTATTTACCGCCACTAGACCCCAAAAATTTTATTCAAAATGTCAGAGTGATCGAAAGAGATACACAAACTAGAAATATTTTAGGGTTTCCTAACCTGCTACATTGCTGACAGAACCGCTGTCGGAGTCCAGCAACAACAGCAACTGCAAGCTTAGCATGAAATTCACAGACCTTGTGTCGGCGGTGGTACGGCCTGGCATAAGTCATATCAGTGGTACAATTGTCCACCTGACAAGAAGGCAGCGTTGATCCTCCTCTGCTAGATCCTTTTTTGTTGTATTCTTTCTTCTTCTTGTCATCCTCTCCAGACCCTAACCCAACATCATCTTCATCTTCATCTTCATCTTCCTCCTCTTCCTCTTCTTCTTCCACCACTTCTCCCTTCATCTTATCCTTCACACTCTTCTCTCCTCCAGCTTTGCCTGTTTCCATCTTAGAGAAGCAGAAGGAAAGTGAGGAGAGAATAGTAGTTCTAGAATAAGAAGATAATTAGGCGAGTGATCCTCTCTCCCCAAATCCCTGTTCCCCTATCCCTAATGCACTCCCAGCCACAAGATGCGATGAAAATCTTGAAACACGGGAATGCTGATGCTCGATGTGCAATTGGGAGTGCATCGGAGATGAATAGGGATTTTGGGATAGAGGATCTGGTGCCGAATAATGATAATGATATGTTGATGAAGAAAGTGAAGCTTTGAGAGAATGGTGAAAAAGAGAATAAGAGTTTGTGAGGACCACAGTCTCCATTCTTTTTTCCTTCAACGTTAAAAGGAAATAATGAAGGTAAGAAGATGAGTTAAAGATGGCTCAAATATTCTCGTTCAATAGGTATATGGCACAATTCATAGTGACTTGTCTTGCTTCTTTTTTTTTCACTTTTAACTTTTTAAATAATTGTGTGACATTATATAAGACAGCTAACATGCACAAGCCACACTATAAATAGGTCTTTTATGACTTAGTTTTCACCAAGTATATCATCCCATTTTAGTCTTCTTGAGAGAGCTTCTCTTAACATACAAAAATGATTCATTAGAGATTGGGCCTTCAACTACCAATTTTTCTCACTATGCATAGTAGAGCATCTCTCTCTCTCTCTCTCTCTATATATATATATATATATATATAATATTTATGGTTGGTAGTCCTTTTCTTGAGAGGGACAATTCTTGTATTTTTAGGTGTATGATTAAAAAGTAAAAGGAGAAAACCAGGCTGGTCCAATGGCTAAATAAACTTGGCCAATCATTGTTTGCCGCATCGTGTACCTGTGTCTACTGTCATATGTCTGCTTATTATTTTTCCACTTTCCCATTTGTTTTCACACTGCCATTTAATTTGCACCAAAGTGGTTACCTTGCTTTGCTTTCACATAGTACTATATTCAGCATCACATTTTGGTCCCCTTTTGTACGTGGACAGCTCTCTCTCTAATGTCCATATAATTAAGCTGGAAGCTTTTGTTATATAAGTTCAGATATAAAACAGAAAGAAAAAAAAAAATTTCTTTCTTAGATAAACATTTATTGGGTCATGTAAAAAATTTGGATGTTGTGACTTGTGGTTGATTATGCGAAGCTTTGTGATTCTCTTTAGATATGCTATTTTAGTTATTTGGCTTGGTGGTGACAGTAGGCGCCGCTGGTTAGTTTTGTGAGCTTGGCTAAATAAGGTTATATGCACTTTGGGACTATATAAAAAAAGCTATTCGAGCTTTAGTTCATGGCCGGCTCAACTAAATCTTGTTTGAGACTGACTTGAAAGCTAAACAAGCTAAACTAGAATGCATTTTAAAACTCGTTAAGTTTTTGTAAGAGGCAGTCAAAACGCATAAAATTAGTGGGCTCAGAGATATCATCATTGAATGGGCCGGATTGCTCTAATCTCGAAAGAGTTTGGATTCACGAACCTAGAGATTGTTCTTTGAGAGAACTAATCTCCATTCTCCATTATCCATCTTGAGAGTGAAAGTTGGAGATCCATGAGCGAGCCTTGTCATTATTCTCTATCTAACTACCTTGCCTTCTTCTAAGTTGTAGAGGCAACACTTGCAGTGGTCAAGTTGCTGAGGCACTTTGCCTCAGCGCCGCCATTCCTAGTATTGTCGATGCCGCCACTTGAAGTTGTTGAGGTAAAGAGAAAATCGGAGCAATTAAGTTGCAGAGATAACACTTGCAGCGGCTAAGTTGCAGAGGTACTTTGTCAGTGCCACTATCTTTAGTATTGTCGGTGCCGCCATTTGAACTTGCCACGAGAAATAGCCATTGCAGCAACCACAGCCGCCGCAACTAACTTGCGGAGGGAATACTCCGCCAGGTGATAGCAGCCTTTGGGAGAAGTTTCTCCTCCACAAGTAGAGGCTAATGCTTGGCGTTGATAGCAGGCCGCAAGGCATTAGGATTGATAGCAGGCCCCCAAAGTCATTTTTAGCAGGCCCCAAGACTTACTGATTGGAACTAATAGTAGGCCCAGAAAAACCAATATACCGTGGCAACCCCACAAAGATGGGAGCAAGGCAGCCCGAGCGCAAGGAACTTCCTTTCCATTTACCTAGGTCATGGACCTGCCTTGGTTGCATAGGCAAGACCAAGAAGGCCTCCTTGGGCTTGGTACTAAGGCACATTATGCCTGATAGCAGGCTTGGTTGTGACCTTCGCCCTGAGAAATTAGGGAGTTTGTGGTTAGGTGGCTAAGGGTGGAGGCTTCGTCGAGGTGAACACGGAACATGGCTGACAGCAGGCTATAAAGTCCTGAGAATGCATGTCTTGGCTAAACTGAACTGAGAAGGCAAGTGCAGCGGCAAACATTACTGCCGCAAGTGCACTTGCTGAGGTTCAAGCTGAGGAGGCAAGTTGTAGCGGTAAACACTCCCGCCGCAAGTGTACTTGTAGAGGCATCTGTGCCAAACAGATAGTACACAGTATATGCAAAGGGACATGTGGAACTTTCAGCTTGGTGGCCTAAGGCAGAATATTCCATGTGATTATTATGGACACATGTCCTTACTTTATTTGACCACTTGGTATTCTTTGGTACCAAGAAAAAGCCTATAAATAAGACCCATTTCCTAAGGTCCAAGGAGAGGATTTTTGGGAACCTTGGGGAGATGTTGCCCATTTTGTGAACTTCTATTCTCTTCTCCTTGAGCCACTTGCTCCACGTTCACCTAGCTGTTCATTCTCTAACTTCTCTAGAGTTTTGTTTACTCATTCTCTAGTCATTCCATCTTTGTTGGACCATTAACATAGTTTTGCTTTTCTAATCACTTTCCTAATCATCGTTTACCTTGAACCTCCCTACAATTTTTTATAGTGTGTACTATATGTTGTATTAAATTCAATATGACCTGGTTGACAGCTTAAGAGAGTGTGATCGCTGTCACTCTACCTTTATCATTTCTGTTGTGTTTGTTCATTCTCAGAATGTCATAATGTTATAGAATATTACCAATATTACAAAAGTGGAAGATTCTCAACAATCTCACTGTTTAATTAATTTCCATCACATAGAATTGTATTTACCCATATTTGAACCGTAGTGTGGCACTTCTCTCTCTAGCTCTAAAATATACAGAAACTGTTCCCCAACACTAAAGGTCCCACAGGACATAGTGCACTAGAAAATTCCATAAGCTACGGTTTGTCCCTCTGGCTGTGAAAGGAATAAAGCGAAGATTCTTTTAAACATGTATGATAGTACCTAAACTGTTGACTTCTTACAGGGTCTAAACTCAGCTTGAACTCAGTTGCATGCCTTATTTTTCATGTATCCTAACCTCCTTTTAATTCAATGCTTTGAACTTTCTGTCTTTCAGATTTGTTTTCAATTCACTTATCCATCAGGTTCTTTGTTGACTTCAATTATCTGATGGTTCCATTAATTTAATCTGAATGATTTGTGGACATCCAAGGACCATAATTATTGATCACTCTACCTTTATCATTTCTGTTGTGTTTGTTCATTCTCAGAATGTCATAATGTTATAGAATATTACCAATATTACAAAAGTGGAAGATTCTCAACAATCTCACTGTTTAATTAATTTCCATCACATAGAATTGTATTTACCCATATTTGAACTGTAGTGTGGCACTTCTCTCTCTCTCTCTAAAATATACAGAAACTGTTCCCCAACACTCTAAAGGTCCCATCATGCCTCCTCTTCCTTGTGTTGCTGCCATTTACGAAGTTCTCTCTCTTCTTTTTTTTTTTTGTTGAACAGTACAAAGTTCTCTAAATGAATTTTCAGCCATGTAATTCTATGATATTATATCACACATTTTTTCAGTGTGTTGTTGAACTTACCTACTTCCAAAACCCTTATTTTATGATAAAAAACTGTATGTAACCTTTAACCCATTAGGGCGATAAGTAGTACGGTGTGAGGTACATGATCGGTGAGTGAACAAATGTTCACATTCTCCCTTTGACATCAAGAATTATTGTATGCATGCATTAAGAATGTGATAAATGATCAAAATAGCACTTTGTTTCTTTCTTAATTGAATTAGAGTACATCCGTCAATTAGGAGGGCTGAAAAGTCATAATTTCCCTTGTAATGATAAAGAAATAGAAAGTTTCTTCAGGGGCATTGCTGTGTTTGGTCTATGATGGGAAACTTGGTTGTTACTATCAACCAGCGTGGTGACTAGAGAATTATGAAGCTCGGGTACGAGTACTGGTATACGGGTACGTCGATACGATAAAATTAAAAAATAATAGGGTACAGATACGCCGTGGTACGCTTGTAAAAAAAAATATTTATTTTTAATTTAGAGTAATGTAAAAATTAATTAAATGGTTTAATTTGTTAAAGTCCAACTTATAATTAATATTTAATGTCAAAAGTAAAAGCATAAATTAAAATTACATGCTAATATATTAAATAGCTTACAAGCTATAATTTAATTTTAAAATCATGCTAAGCATAAAACAAAAAATAAAAAAAAAATCTAGTAAAAGGGGTTTTATCTCTGTAGTAGAAGAAAATATTGTTTTAACTAAGGTATGGTACGGCTTGGATATGTACTAGGTACGTTTGGGTATGTTAAAAATTAAGAAATTTTTTTTTGGATACGTGTTTTCTGTACTCGGTACGTATGTAAAAGTATTATATGAAGCATTATATGTCGGTAAGTATCTGGTACAGACACTATGTTTTTCGAAATATCCCTGCTTCATATCTAGAGAAGTCATGCTCAAACAAATTTAAAAAACACCAACCAAATGGAATGTGAGATCATTGTCAGCACATTGTTTGGGGTGCAATGTGGTCAGCCTTTGATGGGGTACAGTTGGCTTGGATTTGATGCTCTGGTCTCTCTCTCTCTCTCTCTCAAAATAATCTCGTCCTCAGGTGCGCTCAATAATCTGCCCCCAGGAGCACTCAATATCTTGACTCAACTTTAGAAGAGCCAAAGACTGATTGGAAAGAGCTTAAAGGAGATTTCTGGTATCTCTCTCTCTCTCTCTCTCTCTCTCTTTAAAGTCTAAACTTTTCTTTCTTTTCTGCATTACCCTTGTACTAATGTTTGTTTTCATAATTTAACACGCTGCTGGTTGTTTCCATGGTTCATTTATCTATCTGCTTGCCTTGCATAATTTCACTGTATCAAAAGGCAGTGAAATTTGCACTCTATATTTTCACTCCCTTCGATTTGTTTTTACTGGTAATGTGCTTGCATTATGCTTTAGGTGACTCATTTGCTATGGTTATGAATAGGAAGGAAAAATGCTCC